TTTTTAAATATTAAACCTTGTCCAATCACGTTGATAAAGATTTTCCATTTTGACAATAGTGAGCCAGTTCAAAAGCAGAGAGAGAGAGAGCGCTTACCATCAATCCAAGAAAGTAGACTCAGATTTTCACTATAACAAAGTAATTTTTAATGACCCATGCCTAGTACTTGGTACATATTTCTTTTGTTAGTGAATTCCATTTTTTCCTAAACAGTTAAAATCCTGTAGTGCTGCCCTCTCTCGATGAGGAGAGGCAAAACATGTACTTTGGTAGAAAACAAGCAAACATCAAAAACAATTGTAGTCCTCAGGCTGTAGTTATCCCTTTAAATGCCAAGGGCAGAGCATGTAAAATTTTGGGAAGATATGGTTGTCAACCACAACAATATTTTCAGGGTGGAAACAAGCAGAAAATAAGTCTTGACGACACGAATGGGAACAAAAGAAGAACAGGCAAGGGAAAATCAAAGGATGGGGAAGTTAAAGGGAATTTATATTAGATATCTTATACTCAGCTTTGAACAAAGCTATAAAATTCTTGATAGAGATCCCATTAGAGAATTGGGGGAACTGTTACTTCATTTTTTATTGGTCCTTGTCCTCTACTGCCCTGACTCCTGGAAAAAGTAGGACTGGATTCATTGAAGTGGTTTCCTGCCTTTCTGTTAGGTCACGCATTTTAATAGCTTGAACTCGCAGCTGTTGACTTGTTAGCCCTGGGCATCCTGATGTCCATCTTAAAAATATTTTTTAGTTATTTGTAATCTAAAATGCATCTCATTGTTGATAATCTTTAGGAGCTATAGAACTGCTAATGCATCCAAATCAAACGGTAAAATCATCAGATGTTTTAATTAGATATATGCTGCCATCCAGCATGTTTAGACAATTCAAATTCCTTTTGTAATAAATCATTCTTTTTAAATACATTTTATTAAATATCATAAAATAAAAATACAAAAAGAAACAAAAGTTAGAAAACTGACAGAAAGAGAAGTGCAAAGAAAGAAGAAAAAAGTAGTGACTCGACTTACTCTCAATAAGATACCAAAAAATAAAAATAAAAAAAAATTACAACCTCAACCTTTTGCTTTACATTTTAGAACATCCCAGGCTATTCCTATAATAAGAAGAGTATTCTAATAATCAAAACCTAAAATTAAAGTATCATTTTTTTCAGTTTTAAGTGAAAAGTCCAGAAGTGGTTCCCAAGTAGAACTAAAACTAGATAAATTCTTCTCTTTAAGTAAAACAGTTTTGCCATCTCCCCTAACTCCATTAGCGCATCTATCCATCTTTCTGCATATCAGGCTCTTGCCACTATAAACATATAATTGCAAGGTTCCAAATTTTCTTTCAAGTTCTTGGTCCCTTAAACCTAAAAGGAAGACTCTTGGTTCCAATTTTATATTTAAGAATCTTTTGAATCAAGATAAACTCACCTAATGAAGACTTCATATTTGTGGTTTCAAAAATCTTTAATAGCTTTAAGATAGTCAATAGGCAGTTTGTTAAAGTGATTAGAAAGAGAAGTTTACAAACTTAGTGTCCTTTAAAACAGGAGACTCCAACTTTGGGAACTTTCAGACTTGTGGACTTCAATTCCCAGAATTCTTAGGAACTTTAAGACTTGTGGACTTCAATTCCCAGAATTCTGGGAGTTGAAGTCCACAGGTCTTAAAGTTGCCAAGGTTGGAGACCCCTGCTTTAAAAGACTCCACCATGGTTGCAAGCGAGATGGCTGATCTCGTCTTCTGGAGCTCCAATCCACAGAAACCTGTTGTCCTGAATCTCCTCATGAGGAGCAGCTGTCCAGAGCACATGTGGCCAATCTCCCAACCTCTCTTTGTCTTGGCTGTAAGCACCACTTTTGCAAAACTGTCTTTAATTCGCCATACCATCGCCAGTAGTCCAATAAACAAGTGAATTTCTCTTCAAATAATTGTTTTGAGAAACCTAAGAAAAACCTCAAAGTAAAACCTAATTTGTTAGCAATTATAATTGGGAATATAAATGATATTTCTCCATTTAATTGAATAACCTGATAATTCAGCATCCTTTTAATATTATGGCAGTGCGTTTTGGTAAAGAATATTCACAATGATCAAATACAATGTATAATTCACATATAACATGTTTAGCTCTAGCCACTGACATCTCCATTATTTAAACATCGGTGGGCCAATGTTCTCTTTGTCACCTGATACAATGAGTGCAGAACTTAATCCACTGGATTTTTCTCCTTCCCAAGACAATTTAATTTAAAGTGGTGGGACTTATCTCCAGGAGGGATGAGTCTGCCTACCGAGATGAGGTGGACCAGTTGCTTTCATGGTGTGGATACAACAACTTGGTCCTCAACACCAATAAGACCAAGGAGCTTATAGTGGATTATAAAAGGAACAGATCTGACATCCAGCCCTTGCTTATCAGTGGAGACCGAGTGGAGCAAGTGGCCAGTTTTAAGTTTCTGGGTGTTACCATAAAAGAGGACCTGACCTGGGGTGCCCACATTGCAGCCCTAGTCAAAAGGGCCCAGCAGAGATTATACTACTTGAGACTTCTCAGAAAACAACTGAATGAAAAACTGCTGGTGACCTTCTACTGCTGCACCATGGAGAGTATTTTAACTTATTGCACCTGTGTATGGTTTGACAATTGCACAGTGGCAAATAGGACAGCACTCCAGAGGGTTAATGTCATTGCCCAGAAGATCATTGGTTGCCTTCTCCCCTCTTTGGAAGAGCTGTATAGCTCCCATTGCCTTAAGAAAGTTCAAAACATTCTCAAAGATCCATCTCATCATTGGAACCCTTTTTTTGAACTATTACCATCTGGCAGACGGTACAGAATAATGAAAACAAGGACAGATAGGCTGAAAAACAGCTTCTATCCCAGGGCAGTAGCTCTTTTGAATTCTGCTGTATAGTACAGTGTTGGTGTAGTGTCGGGGGTTTCCGGTTCAATGTGTGAAGGGTGAAGGATGTGTGTTTGTGTTTATTTTCATGGTCATGGTCATGATGTGCACCGAAGATGGTGTTTGATTTCATTGTACGAGGTGCAGTGACAATAAAGTAAACTAACTAAACTAAACTAATTTAGTTTGGAATACATAAGATACATAAATTACAAGTTTAGCAGACTTTACTAATCCTTTCTGTGTCTTGTCTCTCTGCTCCTACCCTTCCTTTTGCTCTAGCAATTGAAGCTCTGAAGAAGGCACACAGGGAAGAAATGAACAAGGAGTTGGGCAGAACACGCAACTTTCAGAAAGGGTTTTCAGATCCAAACAGGCTTCAGCAACAGCATCAGTAAGTGACGATTGAAAAATGATTGAGGGAATCTTGATTGGTGAATTGAGGTGGGAGATATAATTGTTATCTATCAAAATGTTGATTGCTGTAGCATTTGATGAAAATATTTGGGTGCGTTTTGGGAGCAAATTGAGTTCACCAGCAATTGTAAGTGTAATAGAGAAAAGAAAAATATAAAATAGCTGGAGAGTAGTCCTATTAATTTGTGTGTTCGTTTAAATTCATTTAGATCAAATTCAATTTTTGTCCTACCTTTATTTATAATATGTCATTTGACTCACCCCATTGTGCTTTTGGGATGCATCCCCTCTAGCTCATTCAGCTAAGTGCAACCCTTTTACAGGAAAAGCTAATGACCTTGCGCTTTCAGTTTTCACTAGAAGCCATTGCTTGTTTTTCTTTCAACAGACAGAAAGATAGGTCAGAAAGATAGGTTAAATAGGACCACTTAAGGCCCTTTTGCACCATAGATAGCCTAGAAAAGGAATTCTGGCAATTCAAAAAGATGCATATCAGACCTGGAAATGGAGATGTTAGCAGTAAGCTATATTTGTATAGATCGGGGGTCGCCAACCTTTTGGACCTCAGGGACCACCAAGGTCATAATTTTAAATCCCACTAACTGGTTCTGTGAGCGTGGCCTAATTTGTGGTGGTCTTGGTGGTCATGTGACTGGCTAGGCATGGCTTGTATGTAAATATAAATATTTATATAAATATTGAATTTTTTTATTAAAAAAGAGCAACTTTTACCCAAAATCAGGCAAAGCAGGCAGGTAGATTGAGTTGCTCACAGAATCACAGATTCATTCAGAAATCTATCTATCTGCCATTGGCTAGCTCAGTCTGTCACATAAAATTTGCTTGCAAGCAAACTCATAAAATTTGCTAGCAAGCAAACTCATAAAATTTGCTAGCAAGCAAACTCACAAAATTAACTCACAACACCATGCATGTAAATACTGATTTTTTTTATTTAGAAAAGGAGCAACTTTTACCCAAAAGGCAGATTGAGTTGCTCACAGAATCATTCAGTGATCTATCTATCTGCCATCAGCTAGCTCAGTCTCTCAAATTTGCTTGCTGTGAGTCTGCACTGAATAACAGAACCTTCAGTCCTAAGGGAGGTTCGACTGTACTTTAAAGCAGAGCTGAAGATCTAAAGACTAGCTAGAAAGCAAGAAATCCAACCATTTCCTGCTTCCTAGCTAATCTAAATCTCCCGGCACAGCAGAACAGATGATGGTCAGAAAAAGGAAAAATAGCAATTTAGCAGGCAAGTTTGCTGGGTAAGGAGTGAGTGGGCAGGGAGCGTTCCTGCGGGCCATGTGTACGGCGCAGCCTTGTGTTTCTGTGCAGCCTGGATTAACTGCTTTGGGAGGTTCTCTGGGGGTGACATTTCTCTGCAGCCCACCAAAATTTTCTCACGGCCCACCAGTGGGCCATGGCTCACCGGTTGGCGACTGCTGGTATAGATTAGCCTTTCAAACGGCTTTTGTCCCATGACGGTCACATTTTATTCAGGATTTGCAAAATAAGATTCTTATTTTGGAGGGGACAGGCCAGATGGAAGACTAGCAGAGAAAACTTAGGTGGTGTTGATGGTGAACTCCTGATATCTGCCGCAGGTCTGATGTGGAGTCTCTGAAGAGGGAGTTGCAAGTGCTTTCAGAACAGTATTCCCAGAAGTGCCTGCAGATCGGGGGCCTGGTGCAGAAGGCAGAAGAACAGGAACAAATGCTGCAGCGTTGTCAACAGGAGGGGAAAGAGCTGCTTCGGCAAAACCAGGCAAGGGCTGGTAGTGCTGCCAATAGCAGGAATTCTGAGGGAAAAACAGTGACAAACTTGCATTCATGAAAGGAGGACAGTTGCAATTTCCTTAATCTAAAATTCAAATTAAATTTAAATACCAGTGAGCTTGCCATTCTTCTTACCTGATGGTCCTTATCTTAGCAGCTAATTCTGGGAGATTTAGCAAAAAAAAAATTGTGATGTCAGCCATAGACCTGTTTGGGATCCCTAAAATGCTGAGTCAAGTTGAGCAATAGAATAGCAAACACTATTGAGCTCTGGAAAGTCAAGCTTGGTAGAGAGCCCCAGGCAACATGCAGCCTAAGATGTTTCTTCTCAAGGCTGCACAATTGAAGATGGTAGCAGGCCATTGTGTAAAAATGGTGCAATTGTCCAGAGTCTTTTGTCAATATAAGAAGTTAGACAGCCATGGTTTTGCTATATGTAACTCATCTTTTAATAACTTAAAAAGTTAAGAAATAGAAGGCGCAAAGCCAGAAACAATCTGTCTCCCTTGAGGACATTAAGTGTATTCCCTACGTGGCCCTCAATTATTGGGGGGGGGGGGAATGTTTAAATGGTTACCAGCTTCAAAAAGTCTTCCTCCACCTGTTATATTTGATGAATATGTTAAACTATTTCATCCTCATTCTTCCAGGAGTTGCAGAAGCGTCTTTCAGAAGAGATTGGCCAGTTACGAGACTTCATTGCTGCTCGGGGCGCACGTGACAATGCTTCACACAACGAGAAGAGTTCTTGTGAGCTACAGGTAAGGAGGAAAGGTTGCTTGTTACTTCTTGCCTGTCAAACTTTGCAGGTTTTTTGTTTTGTTTCAGGTTTAATTTGGCTATGTAGTATTGTGAATGAAAATAAATCTCTGCTGAATCCAGAAGCAGATGCACACAGCTTTTGTGGCAACAAATAGCTCTTTTAAAGGGGAGATTGGGAAAATTAGATTAGCCAGCTTAATGTTTCTTCAAGACAATTGGTAGAAACGGTAATCAAGGACATAAAGAAAATCAAAAAAAGAAAATCAATCTCTATTTTGTCAAACTTGTAAGATTTTTTTTAAAAAGAAATCTACCAGGCAATAAGGTATAGTTGAACAAACGTGGTTGAGTAGCTCAGGTAAACTAAGCCACAGAAAATCAGTTTGTTTATGAACACTATCAATTTCCTGCTTTGTATCAGACATGATTTTAGTCTTAGGGGAATGCTTGGGCAACCTGATTTTTGTTGTCTTCTGAGGGCAGTATCTCACCCATCTTACCACATTGAAAGTGGTTTTGATAGTGGGCAGTTGTGTCCTGAACATTTCCCTTTCCATCTTTCTTCTGAAGGTGCTTCTTCGAGTGAAGGAGAATGAACTCCAGTATCAGAAACAAGAAGTCCAGTGTCTGAGGGATGAACTCCAAATGATGCAGAAGGTAGATTTCTAAAAGCAAATCAGAGTTGCCGGTTTGCAAGAAGTGTGTACGCACATAGGCGCAAACCGATCACTCCATTCCCTGTAATGGTATGCTGTGTTATCCAGAAAAGTAGCAAACTAAAGAAATTAAAGGCATCGTGTAGAAAAGGAAACCCAGCTAAAGCTGTTTCGCACCAAATCAAATTCTCTGTATTGCCCCATACCTTTCTGCCCTGGCAAATCACCTTTGCTTCCATCATATCCATGCCTTGCTTCATACTCTGGCTTTTATTCTTTAAATTATTAGGCTCTCTTTTTTGAGGATCTCTTCAAATCTCTATAAATTCTCAGTCATTCTTTTCCTCTCAACTTATTTCATTTTTTTTGTAATTTGATTCTCATTGTTTATGACTAATACATTTCTTCCATACTAGTCACTTAATATTCAGCCCACATTCATTCTTAATTCTCCTTGATCTCATTATATTACATTGCATTCAACTTTATATTTCTCTCCTGATATACCTAACATAAAACAGTGGGCAAAAGTATGCTTATATATAGCTATTGTCTTTTGATGAACATTCACTTCTTGCAATAGACCTATCTACTATTTTTCTAGAAACATTTGCACATCTTAAAATTTTTCTATCCAGGTTCCCATCTTTAATTAATGTTCTACAATATTGGTGTACAAATCATACATTTGCCTTATTTTTTGTACTACTTGCAAACATTTAATCCATTTTCCCTGTTATTTTCCTGTTATCCACAGCTATCTTTGTGTTAGATTGTGTTCAAATTCAGTTCAAATCATTCAACTTCTCAGCCAACACAATATCATCTGCATATTCTGGTTCATGTCCAGTATTCGTCTAACATCTCTACAAGTCCATAAATACTGTACATTAAACAACCAGGAAAACATCCAACATCCCTGTCTTACACTCCATTCAATACTGAGTTATCTGCTCAGCATTTATTCTTACATATGCTTTGTTGCAATTATATACCACTGTTATTATATTGAGCAACGAACTCCAGCACAAACAATTCCATAATTCAAGTCTGTTTATAATTAATAACGTGTACTTTACCTCAAAAGATGCCAGTATCTTTCATTTGTATCCTTGCTTTCTATTTTTTCTGAACAATGGTACTTCCTTCCCCATGCAGGACAAGAAGTTTGCCTCAGGAAAGTACCATGATATTTACCTGGAGCTGAATCACATCAAGCAACGGTCAGAACGAGAGATTAAACATTTGAAAGAGCATCTGCGCCTGGCCGTGGAAGCCCTACAAGAGAAAGAGATGCTGCACAACAATATTGGTATGAAAGACATGTTTGCATTAAAGACACAGGTTGTGTAAAGTAGAGCTAGCCAAACTGCAAAGGCAGAAGGCATTGGGGCCCCTTTTATCTCTCAACAGCAGAGATGCACCTTGTATTGGCTATCTTGCTGATTGCTTCAAAATCTTTCTCCTTGCCTCCTCTTCTCTCTCCTCCCCTCTTCTGTATGCCAGAGGACAAATGCATAAACAAACTGCTTGTAGAAGGCTCCATGAAATCAAGTTGAAAGCTACATGTTGGTCACAGCTACTGTATTGGTCTAGTCCAAGTCAGTTTCATTCTGCATCTAAAATAAGTTTATAAGCCAAGGATGTTACAGCTGAAATCTATAAATTGTCATCATCAGGACACTTGAAATGTTTTAAACACCTGTCTTCCATTACCATTAGCATGGCCACCAGTCCTACTATGTAGCAAAGGTACACTTTTTGAATACAATGTATTGTTCTTGATTCTACTTTTCTTTGTTCCATAGGTTAGTTACTTTTCGGCGCACCACTTTGGAGAATAAAGCAGCGTTCCTCTCCAGGAGCACTGAGCAAGACTTTACCAAATAGCCAGCACATGCATCTGTGTCACTTGGGCATGTTTTGGGCTGGATCCTACTACTAGCACCTTTTTGGGACTTTATACATGAAAATAATTTTTATATTTTGGGGATGGAGTTGGGGATATGTTTTAAAATCTTATACTTAAGTTTCCCAGCAGTTAACCACAAAGGTGGGCCAGATATTTCTCCCTAACGTTCCTTTAGATCTAATTGTTTCTTCCAAATATTTAGCTGTATTTACATTTAAAGTATTTATCTGCTTTCAGTTTTCTTCTAAATGGAGAAACAAAATTACATAACTCTCAACTTCAGGCTGTATAGTGTTGCTTCACAGCAATCCATGTTGGAAATACGCTGTGCCGAAAGAACGTTGTATTAGTTACATTGTCAGTGGAACTGGTTTGTCCAAAGACCATGCAGAGTTTATGTTTAGGATCTATGAGTAGCAATTGTTTTCAGAACGGAAGATTATTTTTAATGTTGATTAAATGCCTGTGCATCCCATTGTAAACTCAGTCTTCCTCCCCAAAAGTTGGGTTCAACTAATGTGTTCTCAGGGGGAGAAATTTTACTGCTGATGTTGCAGAGCCAAACAATGAAGGTGGCTAATTTTCTTTTATTTCTGCAGAGTTAACTTAATAAAATCATTGACTACAGAAATGTGTGCTTTTTTGCTTGGCAGTAGAAAGTATAAATGTTGAACCATTTTGCATTCCCCAAAGGTTGGCACCACTTCTTCTTATATTAACATTATTGGATCTTAATGCTTTTTGGAAGTTCAAAGTACTTTCCCTGTTTTCTCTCTAATCTTAGAAATCTTTAAGCAGAAATGGGGGCAGTGGGCCCCTTTATTTACATTTGGGATGATTTACAATAGATCAGGGATGTCAAACTCAAGGCCCATGGGCCGAATCCGGCCCATGGGGTGCTTAAATCTGGCCCATGAGGCCAGCCTGGAAATATGAAAGGACTGGCCTGCAGTGCCTCTGGTGGCTAAAACGGGCCATGTGAGGGGATGCGCACCTCATTTTCACCCTGCATGGCCTCATGCAGCACTCTACCCACTGAAAACGGAGGCTGGCCAACCACCCTCCCCTCCCCACCCTGGCCGGCCTGCAGATGAGAACTACAGTGCTGATCCGGCCCTCGAAGAAATCCAGTTTGACAGCCGTGCAACATATCAAATACTTGACTCTGAATTGTTGGCAATAGCAACAAGAACAAATTTCTACTCCTAAATTCATCTGTTATAATCTGTTCTGCAAATATAGTTTTTCATTGTTTAATTAAAAGGAAGAGTAACTATAAAATCTTTAATAATTTAATAAAATCTTGCTGCATGATAGGTAAACCACTAATATTCCTGTACCTTAGGACAGTGATAGTAGCATCAAGTTGAATTTGGCTGGCTCGGAAGGCATGGCCTATTTTGTAATTGAATAAGACATTATTTCATCATTTTTATTTTATTATAAAAAATACAAAAAAAAATACAAAAAAAAAACACTTTTAAGTCAATTTAAATGTCAATTTAAAACACTTTCAAGTCAATTTAAATGTCCCACTTGCGATTGGGTTTGTATGTTGTCACCTAAAGTAAAACCACTTTTACCCAATTTTGGGAATATACCAAGGTTTGGAAAGCATAAGAGTTAAAATGTCCAAACTTGATCTTGAACTTGACCCCAAGTCACCCAGTTTTTGTATGTTAATGCGTTACTTAGGAACTTGAATTTATTTCTCTGTTCCTATCATATGCTGAGCCCTCTATCAGTGACATATCACATTTGAATGCAGAGGTTATTTGCAAACTAAAATATGCAGATGAAGATTGCAAATCCGTTATAAAAATGTATAAATGCATAATATATATAATATAAAAATGTTTTGAATTTTGTTAAAATGTTATCAGTAGTAAATATTCCAAAAATTATGAAAGATGCTTTTACTCTTTCAGATATTCTCCTACCCATAATTTCTTTTTTTTTAAAAAAAAATGCTCTGCATTTAGTAGTCTTTGAATTAATTATATTACACAAGATCAAATTTCAAAATTAAAAATAAATATTGAGACCATCACACTACCATTCCATCATGCAATTTAATTAGATAGCACAAAATTGGTCTCCTTTTCCCATATAAAACAAGCAGAGATGCATGTTTTTTAACATGCATGCTTTTATCCAAGTTTTTTCATGAGACCATTCCAGTAAGTTCATAACATTTCTTGTATTTACTAGCTCTCTCTCTCTCTCTCTCTCTCTCTCTCTCTCTCTCTCTCTCTCTCTCACACACACACACACACACACACACACACACAAAGCACCCTTCTATAACTGGCATATCAGGTTTCTCATTCACAAGATATGGCAAAATGATATATTAAAAATGTTCAGCAATTTCATGTGTGCAGTAATTTCATTTGTAAGAAAAACGGGTATTTTATAACTACTTAAATTCTTTCCCTTTAAAAAATGACCTTGACTGAACCAAGAGAATATAGCATATATACTGGAGTCCAAGCTAAGGAAGAGTTTTGTTTCTCCAACCTCATTCTGATTAACAATGCTTTACTCTATCCAAATCAAACATCGCATGGACTTGAATTGCAGATTCCGCTGGCTGAAAGGTGGTTGTGAATCAATTTGTCGCAGCCATGAAAAGCCATGTAAGGGAAAACGTAGCTCTTTCGAATTATATTTGTAAGATACGGCTGGGTTTTAAATAGGTAAAATTCATCTTAAAGAAATCCTACTAAAAATTGTGACCGGTCATCTGAAAAATAATTTTCGTTGCAAAGAGAGTCGCGTATGCGTTGCCCGCCACCCCGATCCGGCCATTCCTCCGTTCTCTCATTCATTTCGTAACGCGTCCCTCCCTCGCAATGCCTTTCTATAGCAGCCGACGGGGTCCTTAAAGGATGACGGCTAAATTAAACTTAAATTTTGTCGTAAAGCAACTGAGGAACTAAACGGCACGTGTGTCCAGTACCCATCTCTGGCCGTGCGAAACAAAGGAAAGGGGGGCTAGCCTCTTTCGGGCGATGCGTGTAGTCTGTGCCGAAGAGGAAGCGTGTGCGACCATCCAGAAGCATTAGACTGTCGCCTTCCAATCGCAGGGAGGAGTCACATTCCTATTTCTTCGATCCTTCCAATGTTGGCGCTGTCAAGTAAGGTAGAAGCCTTCCTTCTCCGACTACATTTCCCACAAAACATTGCTCGCAGGTTGTACGGCGGCCCTTTAGCCATAGAAACCACTTTGACCGATTCCTTTCCCTCGGTAAGAATTAATCAGCTGATTGCTGAGAGCTCTTCAAAGAAACTATTGCTATTGTCAACAGAGAACTGTCAACGCGATTACATCCCACAGGGCTGTTTAATCGCTGGCCCTTATCGCAATCCTTTTAAATTCTTCAGTAAATACTTAACACGGCTCATAGAAAACTACTTTCCTGAGATCTTGGCTCGTAATAAACACTAAAGAAGCAAAATCCCACTTTATAATTTCAATAAATTAAACGTTATTTCTTAACTTTCGGGGAAGCATACTTTAGAATTTTATGTAACATTTTTATACTTTTTATATCTTTAGTGAATCCTGAAAGTAACCTTCGATCTCACCGATTAATTTTCTATATCCTCCTCCTATTTACAATCCTGGAATACGGGTAAATTTGAAATTTAATCTACTGGCGCAATCTTTTCCTCTATTACGTTCCTCGCAGTTTTTCGGTATAATGAGTCAAGGGAAAAGGCAGGTTTAAAAGAGAAGTTTTACATGAGTGTGTATCCCACCCCACCATTTTTTTCCTCAACTGTCCAAATTAAAAGTAGCCTGGATATTTTTAAAAAAAAAAAATATTTCCAGTAATGTGCATGATACTGAGATAGCGATAAAGGATAGACATTAATGAGCCTAGAGCCTAATCATTTGACAAAACAATACGATTAGCAATCCCAATCTTTTTCCACGATGTCAAAGTCAAAGCAATTAAATCGAGAGAGACGGGCCGGGGGCTGGGACCAAGACCCTTCCCCACCCCTCTATTGCCATCAACTTACTTGGAAGTCCTCGAGTAATATCGGGAGTTGGAGGTAGTAGAACAAGCTGCCTTGCGGTTTATTCATCTGTTCTATAATACACACACCCGCGTCATGCCCCACGCCACGGGGGTCTTTACTTTTTCCAAATCGAGGAACGCCTGCTTTCCCCCTTCTTTTTTGAAAGAGTCTAAGGAAGCTTCCCAAGAGAAAAGACGCAGGCATTGCAAAGGTGCTGACGTTTTGTTATTCGCATTCTACTGCTGCCATAAAACTGCATCTCATGGTTTTGTGCTTTAAAAAAAAAAACCACACAGACATATTGCTAACTCAGTTTTTGGATCTAAGAAGCGACGGGGTATTTTGGAAACGGGGAGAAGTGCGAATGTACTTAGATGTGTTTTTGGGGTGGTGTTCTCCGGGTTGCTAGGATGCCAGTTCGATCTTATAATTCCCTCTTTTTAAAAAAGTATTCAGAGGTGTGCTTTTTTTTTTTTAACTTTTCCTCCCGAGTTTTTCCGATACCACCAACCGACACTTAGCAGCTCCGAGTCTTTCAGGTTGCATCCACGACGCTTTTCATTAATTTCTTTATTAACAACAACACTCCTGAGGGGAGAAGGGGGGAAAAACAACCTCAGTTCTTCCAGCAAGATGGCGATTGCACGTACATGTAGTCTTCCAACAGTTAAGCCCTCCGCCTAGGCTGGCAAATTAGGGTTAATTCATTTAGGGAAATGGCTCTTCGAGCCCCTGTCGCCTCTTACCCCCTTTCCTTCTCGGGAACTTATTTGGAGAAAGTGTTTAAGTAAGAGGAGAGATTCCACCCTGAAAAGCCCAAACAACAGCTCGTATAAATCTCCACAGTTTTTTAGTGGGGGACAAAATAAATCGGGGGGCCGGGGGTACGAAGGCAAGTTGACCTGGGGTGTGGTGAGAGGGGTCTGAGATAAGTCGATAGTGGGGTACTTAGGCAATGGGGGTGTTGTGTCCCCCTCCCCTTTCCCTCTTATGTAGACACACTTATTATTTTGATCCCATTGCAGGCAATGAAGTGCGTTTTGGGGTAACGGGGGGCGAGTGAAGAAAGACCCCATTCTGCCCCTCTTCATCCGAAGTCAAAAGGAAGATCCAGATGCGTCCCCAAGCTAGGTGCCCCCCAACTCCAAGCAGGGGGCTGCTAAGTGGTCCTTGGGGGAGGGGATGGCTGCAAACTTCCCATCTAACAAAAAGGAAAGTTTTCTCAGCGCTAGGACTTGGGGAGGGGGCGGCTGGAGGACGGGACCCACAGTATGGGGGGCGAGGGTCCCCCCAAAGACACCCCCAACCCGGGGGGAGCCGCTCCCCCCACCCTTCCTGGCCAGGTCTTAGCTGAGTCTCGGCTGGCTCGGGGCTCCCTGTGTTAGTTGGGGTCTGCTCCAGGGCTCCCCGCGCGGCTCTTGGGGCTCTTGGAGTGCCGGAACGGGGGTTTCCCGTTGGCCTAGGGGTGCCTCTTGCTTGTCGCTTTCCCTCTTGGCTGGGCTCCCCTCGGCTGCTTCGCTAGGGGGGAGCAAAGGGGAAATGTCGAGGCGCCCCACTCGCACCCAGCGCCGTTTGGGGCGCCCTGAAGCGGCGGAGGACGGCTGCAGAGGGAGCCGGCCGCTGGGACCAAGAGCTCAAGGACCGGAGCAGCCGGCGGCAGTGGTGCGGAACCCAAGAGCCACGGGGAGAAGCGGGAAAAAGCCGCTTTAGGCGGCGGAAGAAACACAGATGTCGGCGGCGCGGCGCCATTCGGGGCCTGAACAGGCAGCCAGCAACCCTGTCCTCACCGCGGTCCGCGCCTGAGCGCTAAATACCCGGATGCGCCGGCTGCTGCCTAGAGAGCCAGACACAGAGCAAGAAGCGGAGGCAGGGCGCAGCAGAAGCTGTCAGAAGAGGTGGGGAATTGAGTCCCAGAGAGAAAAAGAGAAAGAAGAAGGCAAGCAGGAGCTGGGCTTGGGCACAAAGCCGTCCCCAAGCCTGAGTGCGGACACCTGCTTCCTTGAAAAGACTGGTGAAGCAGAAAGGCCTTAGCCAGAGCTGCTTCTCAGGAGGGTGCATTCCCGAAGAAGACTGTCCTGACCACGCCCTGCCACCAGCTGCCTGGAAAGACTGTCAGGAGGTGACATCCTCCTTGGGCATTAAAAAGGAACTCTTGTCAAAGTTCAGTACATCTCAGCAGGATCTTCTGTACCGCGCAGGCTGCTGGAAAGAAGTCCCCCACGTGTCTAAAGAAAGTTTAGGACCAGCCCCGAGACTGGTGGCTTAGAGACCAGACCTGTCCTTCTGAAGGGAGACTGCGCAGCAGGATGACTGAAAACTCTACCACGGCACCTGCTGCCAAACCCAAGCGGGCCAAGGCAGCCAAGAAGTCCACGGACCACCCCAAGTACTCTGACATGATTGTGGCTGCCATCCAGGCTGAAAAGAGCCGGGCTGGTTCTTCACGCCAGTCTATCCAGAAATACATCAAAAGCCACTACAAGGTAGGGGAGAATGCAGATTCCCAAATCAAGCTGTCCATCAAGAGGTTGGTCACAACAGGTGTCCTAAAGCAGACCAAGGGTGTCGGGGCTTCAGGTTCCTTCCGCCTGGCCAAAAATGATGAACCCAAGAAGGCTCCAGTCAAGAAGGCCAAAAAGGAAGTCAAGAAGGCTACAACACCCAAGAAAGCTGCTAAGCCCAAGAAAGCTGCTGCCAAGTCCCCGGCCAAAAAGCCTAAGCCTGCAGCAAAGAAAGCCAAAAAGAAGCCCGCACCCGCTCCAAAGAAAGCCAAGAAGCCAAAGACTGTCAAGGCCAAGCCGGTGAAGGCCTCCAAGCCTAAAAAAGCAAAAGCCTCCAAACCCAAAGCAAAGTCCAGTGCAAAGAAGTCGGCCAAGAAAAAGTGAGGGGCAAGTTTGGGACTTATTTCTTGGAACTTCTTCTTGACCTCTATTCTGTAAATAGATTTCTTCTTTATTCTCTACTCATTTCTATTGCAGCTTTATAAAGACTGAACAATTCTTGCCCTATACTTTAAAAAAAAAAATTCATATGGAAGCTACATTTGGGGTTTGGTTTTGTTTTTCTATTGTAATTTGAAAGAGATTTTTATGTCATTATTTTATTTCCCTTCTCTATTAAGGTATGCAATACATGTGTCTTAAGCATGAGGGAAGATTAATGAGGGAAATCTTAGTGTTCTTATTTTTTTGTGGAAAATTTGAGAAATATTTGATGGAGGGGATGTGCTATGGGTGGGCCTTCTTTAATTGGATCTCCTCAACTGAATATACCCACAACTGATCATTGTAACTGGCTTTTAAGAAAAAACAACTTTGTTTTATCATGGATAAATAAGCTTCCAATTTAGCTGATATGGTGGATGATTGTTTCTTGACCTAATGAAGGCTGGATTCGTTGAGGTTAATAAGCTTTCCACTGACTTCATTCATGTGCTATTTGCAGGGAAGATTGAAATGGGGTCAGTGAAAAATACTGCAAATATTTGAATTTCTCCCTATTAATATTTGTACATGTTGGCCACATTGGAGTAAAGTGAAGATGTTAATTCTGTTCCTCAAAAGAGAATAGAAATAATCAGGAGGGGGTGTGTTCACAGACTCTGACCACCATCTGATTCTGGCAATTTCAAGAGAGTCCCAAAAGCTATCTTACCTGCTATTGGACTCAGTTGGATGCCTCCCAATTCTGCAGTAACTGCCATGTAAAATTGCAACTTTTATATGAGAATAATCTACAAGATTCCTTCCAACCTTCACTTTTAAATTATGGTGTTTTTGAGGGTAAAGGAGGAAGAACAAATGTTAGGGGATAATAGATAACACAAACAGTAGCCAATGTTGAAACTAGGAAGCTGTACACAATTATTGCTAAGGTTTGGAATGTTTTTCCCCAAGAGGGGAGTGAAAAACAATTTTAAGTACTCCAGATTTTAAAAATTAAGTATGCTTATGTTTAAACAAGAAAATTCTTATAGGATTGATATCTGATTGTTCATTTTACTTTGTATGTGTAATTTTGTGCAAGGAAGGTTTAGCTGTCTTTGTAATTTTAGGGTTTAAAATAAAATGTAAAACAAACTAACATTTTATTCATTTACATTATGTTGTGTAAAAATCATTTTTATAACATTGCAAATTGAGTTATATATCCTCAACACTAGACAAATCAAGAGCATTATTCTTGATCAAATATGTTAACTTGAAAGGAAAAAGGAGACAGTTCTTTGGTCATGAAAACAAAGCAGTCAGAGAAAAAACTGCCCAAGTCTAGGTTTCTCCATTCGGGTATTCTCCAGATACTTCTCTCTCTCCCCCCCCCCTTTCCCCCCATCAAAGAGATCTGGGAAGCATGAGTTTAAGAAAGCTTTATTATAATTCTATATAGACATAGCATTGGTGGCAAATTAAGGAATTGGATATTTGACAGGTTGAAAATAAGTTTTCATCACAGAAAAATCAATATCACTTCGCCACCAGATGTCAGCCCAACAAGACATAATCTCATTTTACTATGAAAATGTGTTTTACATTAAAAATAGCCAATCTGTTATTTAGTTCTTTGTCTAAACCCTGTATGAACTATAGACAAAGTTGCATTTACATTAAAATGTGTGTGTGTGTGTGTCTCACAATTGTCTGCTACTATGTTGAAAACTCTGTTACATACTATCATAGATTGCAAACACATTTGATATTAGAATCATCAGATGGTTCCACATGGCCTGGTTTGGAATTTGCAATGGAGATAGGAACAACTTGAATAGAATATTTGGAATGTAGAAAGTGCTTTCAAGGAACAAATACATCGGTTCCTCCAAGAATACCATGCAGATGTGGCTTTATAAAGTTAAACAATTAATTGACATTTCTCTGACATATTTAAGATAAAAAATCAAAATGGAAAATTTCTGCAGGAATGTTTACTTTGTAGCTAAATCTTCACAATGGCTCCTGCATCTAGTCAAGATTAAGATAAAATAAAGGCAAATAGAGAAGAGAAATTGGAAGGAGGCGTGCATCTGCATCACTTTTCATATAATGCTACACACATAGCTGAAAATATGTGTTTGTCATTTGTCTTGTGATGCAGTTGGGAAAGGTGCATTCACAATCATAGTTTTAAGCCAGCATGCCTGCACTCACCCACCACACATTGCTGTAAATAGGTTTCTTTGAAGTCAGCCAAAATCTCCCAAGTTGAACAAGTCTTATTGAAACACAAACAAAACCCTAGTGTTTCCAGCTTGAAAAAAACATGAAAAAATTCTGAAAAATAGAATAGGAACAACTAACACTTAGCTGAAATATAAAAACCTGAGCAGGTTTGGGGTTAACTTCCATCTTTGAAGATCAGAAGAAGAAAAAATAAAAGCCCTGTAAACTAGTAATGGTAAACATAGATTATCAAAGAACAGTGAATATAAGAGCGTATCCTCCTCCCAATTGTAGCACAATTTTGAGAAATCTCATTTTTTCCCAAATTTGAATTTTCACTCTCAAATCCAGCTAAATATGTCCACTTTAAACAATCCTAGTGAATGTTATTATTAGCATTAACAAGTTAATAATTATATTATTTTAATTATAAAACCTTCACTGATTTTCTTCTAGTATGCAAACATTCTCAAAGCAGAATAAAAATATTCATTACATATAAGCAACTTACTAAATTAGAACAGATCTAAAGGGTAGCATAAAACCATGTGTAAATATTAAATGCAGGAGCAAAAAGATCCTGGCATGTTGACCAAGTACTTCCAACCTTATTTGAGGAGTGTGGACTTTCCCGAGTCCCTTCACAAATGGGCTTTTCGGTTTCAATTTTTCTGAAACCAGAGGAACCAGATGTTCATAGAGCTTAAGATGTGTATTTTTCCTAATTTGTCTAAGGAAATCAAGGCAGACAAGAGAACACTGCAGATTTTAAACAACATATAGGAGACCTACTTCACAGCCTGATCTATAATTTTACTTTATTAATGCATTGTTATAGGCATTTATTTTGCATGATATAAATACGTTATTCCCACTCCCTCATTTGTTCTTTACCTTCTCTGATCTCTGTTGGGGCGTACAGCCAAGCCCCAAACACAAAGGAACAATACGAAATGTTAACAATGGCAAACATTACAAAACAAAAATCAAATCTAGGTACAGAAACCTACAGCAATTGAAAAGAACTTGGTTTCTATCAGGGAATTGTTTGGATTTCACACACTATTGCAAATCTCAAAAGCCAGGCAACTTTGTACAGGAGAGGCAATCTTTCAAGTAATTAGATCCTAAACCACTAATTGTACTGTTGGAAGAAAAATCCTTCTGGGTTCAGTTCCAAGTGGGGAAAAAGACACTGGAAACATGGAGGCTGTTTGGAAGGTTTAATGGTGGACAGGACCACATGGCCTGGAGCTCCAGAGTGAAAAGAAAGGATGATCACATGCTTCAAGCTGAAGGAAGAGATCAAGAAAAACAGCTGAGGTGCTGAGAGTGCCTGGGTTTTATAACCTTTGTTGGGATTTGAATTGGAGCTTGTATTCTGATTGGTTGTCAGACTCCCATGAGGCCATGCAGGGGCAACTCTGTAGGCTGTCCTGAGTTCCAGGTTTGGTTGAGCCTTGCTGGATGATGATGCACTGAAAGGGCTTTTGAGCAATTGCTATAGTTTTACCTGGAGAACTTTGTTATGTAAAGTATTCTGGCCCAAGCCTTAATGGCCCACCCATTAACAAAGGTGGGGGTGAGCGTCTGCTTCTGAGGTGAGTTTCCGCTTCTGAGTTTCTACTCTTTTTAGAGGAAATATTCTGCCTTTTTAATATTTCCCAGGATATTTCATTTTTCTAGGAGAGGGGTGGGTGCTAACTTCCTACAGTACAAATTGTAACCAGTACTTTGAATGGTCCCAGAAACCAACCAGATATGCTTCCTAAACTGGGCAAGGTACTTCTGCTTGAGACAAACTTATTCCTAATTCTTAATCCATCACACATTTCTTTTGCAGAAGGGTTTCAATGGACTCTTAATACACTACTGGTAACAGGATAGCATTTTTCAGAATAATGTCTATGGAGATTGTGATGCAGGTCATAGCTGTCCCAAAGGTGCTTTTTTTCTTTTCTTTCAAAAGGGAATTGGACTATGTTATTCTTTGAAGACATTTCACTTCTTATCCAAGAAGCTTCTTGGATGAGAAGCGAAACGTCTTCAAGAAAAACAAAGTCCAGTTGCCTTTTGAAAAAAAAAATCACCTTTGGGACATTTTTCAGCATACAAGCAAGATATCTAGATCAGCAAGCTAGATTAGGATGTGTGAGCAAGCTGTCCCTCTCTGAGATAAACTTTTTAAATTTGGAAATAGGAATTTCCTAGTCTGAAATCAGAGCAGGATAAGACATATTTGGAAGGGTCATTCTACAAGCCAAGAAGAGAACTTTTTCCACAGCAGGCATTCCCCTCCAATTTCCACCCATTTTATCTTACTCAACTGAACATCACATTAAAATCCCTGGGTGTGGAATAGTCAATTCCAGATAATTTTCGGATTCTATGGGTTTGTATTAAAGAAAAAGCAATGGCAATTTGAACTGATCCTACAGTATGTCCTGACTTCTATTGATACGTTTTATATGGTGAATTGATTGTAGTTCTCAAACTGACTTCAAGGCAATTCCACAGGAGAAACTTGAGAGTAATCTAATCATGAAACTTAGCAAAGCATCTCTAAAGTTTCTACATAAATAAAGGTTGAGCACAGATAACAGGCAACAGGTAGATTCATTATGCTATGTTCCATCTCCAGAAATATCCAGTAGCTTCAAAAGCCATTGCACTTAACAAGCCACATACAAATAATCACGTTGCTCTAGTCTGTTGTGTTAAACTCAGCAAAAATGAGCTTCTCTTTTTCACAGATTTCAGTCGCATTAACTTGTGGAGGAGATAAGGGAATTCCATGTATTTCACAACAATTCTTATTACTGCATATTAACATTTTCAAAAGTTTCCATGGTTTTTCTAGCCAAACATCCCCTTAAACCAGTATTTCTTAAAGTGTGGCCCTAGAAACCCCCCCCCCCCCCAGATCTCCAAGACCCTCTCAGGAGCCTGTAAAATCAAAATTATTTGCCAGCCTATGTTGAAAAATAGTACACTATTAAAATCCCATCCAATAATCATAAGAAGCAATAATGGCAGAAAATGCATCCACTTTAGTTTTTAATACAATAAATATCAATAAATGTAACTAATACGAACAAAACTCTTTTGGGTTCCTCCATAATTTTTGAAAGTGAAAAGGCATCCTAAGAGAAACAAAGTTTAAGAAACGCTCCTAAACAAATGAAAAGTTGCGGACAAAACTGATCGGTTAATTCTAAGGAAGTTAATTTTCAGTTAACTTAAGCAAGCTTTCAGGTTTCTTTATATTCTTTCCTATTAGGCCTGCATGACTTGTTCCAATAACCCATTTGGCTATTTTTCATTCCGCTCCTTACCAATTTCAGTTCAATTTCTGCTCCGCTTTAGAATCTCAGAATATCATTCCCCCCCCCCCCCCCCCGCTTAAGGTTACCCTGTCTCTTTAAATAAATTCTGCTGCTTATTGGTGCGGCTGGAGGGAGAAGCCTTTTCTGTTCCCTGATTGGCTGCTCAGTCCATGCCTCTTTTGACAAAAAGCCCTCGCCTGTCGGATCTCCCACTGTCGGTGTGGCAAGTTTTCCTTCGGAGCCATGTGGTGGAGCCAGTTCCTACGGGCCCCGTTTGTTCTGGGGCAACGCAGCCCTTCGCGGGCGCAGTCTGCTTTGGCCCAGCTCAAGCACCTGCTGGAGGGGGAGCTGGAGGGTATCCGAGGGGCCGGGACCTGGAAGAACGAGAGGGTGATAACATCAAAGCAAGGCCCGCATATTAATGTGGAAGGCAGCCGAGGAGGTAAGCCGTTGGGAAAGAGAAACGAAAGAGAAGCGGAGCTTTGGGGGAAGGGGAATACAGAAACTTATTTGGCAATAGTTTCAGGAATTCATGTTTCTCTTTCTTATTGAACTGACATATTTGGCAAGCAGAAATCAGACAATCATCTCATGTATGTTAATGATGCTGGTTAGCCGTACATGAAAACGAATAAAAAAAGACAGATCAAGTATAAAAGTTAAGATTTGAGTTACTTTTAGAGTGGCTAAGTGGGAAGATGCTTGCCTCCCACTCAGAACAGTGGTGGGATTTGGGCATGGCAGGGGAAGGATACTTTAAAAAAAAACAAAAAACCATTCCTTCCCCATGCCTGGGGGAAGGTTACTGCAAAATCCCCATTCCCTCCCCACCCCACTAACCTGCTTTCCAGCTCTGTTCTCCTGTGCAGGGAAACAAAAGAAGACCCAGCCAATCAGCTGGGACTCAGGAGGCAGAGAATAGATGGGGGCGGGGCCAGTCAGGTGGTACTTGCTGGTTCTCCAAACTACTCAAAATTTCCACTACGGTTTCTCCAGAACTGGTCAGAATCTACTGAATACCACCTCTGACTCAGAAGTTTGAGAGTTCAATCCTGGGTTGAGAGAAAATTCAATCTGGGTAGTGGGAAGATGCTTGCCTCCCACTCAGAAGGTTGAGAGGGAGTTCTATCCTGGGCAGTGGCTGTGAAGGAGTCAGGAAGGACTCAGTTCCACCCAGTCACCCTGACTCTATACAGGGAGTTTCTTTGAGGTTACTTTTCTCCTGCATGGGACAACTCCTACTGACTTTGCAGAAAGCGCTACGTCTTTTTCTTGGGAAAGATCCTTCATGATCTTTCTAATCTAGAAAGGTTCACACCCAATTTTTCTTATATGTCCCTTGGGACAGGGGTCCCCAACCACCGGTCCGCGGACCGGTACCGGTCCGTGGAACAAATCCTACCGGGCCGCTGGTTTGCTGGGCGCCGCCATCTTGTTTTGATGAAAAAGTGCTTCTGGTGAGCTTTTCCGGGTAGAAAGCTCACCGGAAGCACTTTTTCATCAAAACAAGATGGCGGCGCCCAGCTGATGCCGGTACCGGGCCGCGGCGCCCAGCTGATGCCGGTACCGGGCCGCGGCGCCCAGCTGATGCCGGTACCGGGCCGCGGCATAAAAAAGGTTGGGGACCACTGCCTTGGGATGTCCAGTAGTCTTGAAAAATAATACTTTGTTGAATAAAATTCATCTTAAGGTCATGTAATACTGATCTGACATTTTTTAAAAACCCTAGCCTGTTGATTTGCTAAAAAAAAAAAAAAAATCTAACTTATTGAAGCCATGTGCAAATTACACATATTTTTCAGTGCCATTTTTCAATTGTAAATAAAAATTAGCTCTAGGAATAAAGCTTTTATTAAAATACTTGATAAAGTCAAGTATCTCCAGATGCACCTAATCAATCACACTCAAACCATACTATCAAGTGAGAATATTTTTTTCATCAAATGTATGATGAGAAATTTAATATAGTCAAAATTGTTTTCACAAAACATCAAAAGCTGCTCCAAAATGTTAATGCTTCCTCCTCAGGAATTCCAGAAAAATCATTTGTGCCCAATTTTAAGGATTAGATTGTCCCATAGGCATAATTCCACCTGCTTATTTCAAACCACATTTACCATTTTAGTCCCCACTCCTTCCATTTAGAAGCAGCATTTTAACTCTTTAGTAATTTGACTTGCACTGTGTCATTTGAGAATACATTAAAAAGGATCAGTACTTGGAATGTTGCTGAACTAGGAACCAATGCACAGATTACAGACTTTTGGGTGAGAATTAACCTGGTGTGTAAATGTTCATACCACCTCCATGGCTAATGCCTTCCCCATCACACACATATGAATATTGTTGCGATAGTTGAATTGAGAAAATTGGAATAGGTGAGGAAAGTGAAGACGGGGTAGATTTTTAAGGTCTGGGATCAACTTTTTTGAACAAGACCATGTTATATTTAGAAGAGTGGGTTTGGGGTAAATATGGGGATTCATGTTTTTTACCACTGATTTCTTTTGTAGGGCTTTCTACTTTAGTTTTCATCTATTTCCCAGATTTATTCACAGCACAGGCTCTTAAAGTTTCTTTTAAAGTGACAAAGGTGGTTCCAAGCCAACAAGAAAGGGATTCAAGTGGAACTTCCGTTTTGAAGGACTTCGGCGACAGGCAGGAATCTGCGATCGTGCGCGGTTTCTGCCTGGGCTTGCCACTGGAGCGCCCCGAGCCGGCTGGTTTCGGGGCTAAGCCACCCCGTAGAGGTGGTGAAGAGGGGGGAGATCGCCAGCAGGGTCGAGGAGGGCCGCATCTCTCCTCCTCAGCTGGCCATTACTCCCTTTCCCGAAGGCGGTAGGAGCGGCGGTCAGAAATGGCCGCCTCAAAGAAGAACCGGACAAGAAAGTGCAGGAGGAAGATAAGTGAAAGTTTTGGCTGACCGGGTTAAGCTGAAAAAACAACAATTAAGGTACCCTGGAACTTAAATTTTATAAAAGATAACATCGCTCCCAAAGAAGAGTTGGAAGCAGCGGAAGAAAGTGAAAAGGGAAAGTTTTTTTTTTCTTCTCTCTCCTTCCTTACATTGACAACCAAGAGGTCTGAATAAGAAATTGGAAAAATCCGCTTTGGCATCAATAGGCAATTAAGCTGAAAATATAATTAAATGCTAAAGGGACAATAAAGATTTCTGGACATTAAAAACTTTTTTTTCTATAAGCAGGAAGGGAGAGGAAAAGACTAAGGGCAGGATCTGGAGGGAGGAGACTGCCTGGATTTCAAAAGAATCTAAAGTAAAATCTCAATAAGACTTCTAAAAGATACATTTTAACTGGAACTTTGCAACTAAATAGTAACCCCAGGAAGAGAAAGTGAAAAAAGAAGAAAGTGTAAAAAGAAACAGCTTGTGTGTATTTGGATTGCTTGGTGACTTTTGGATTTTTAGTTATTATATTTGAATGACTAAAAACAATTGGGTGGTTGTTTAAATTTTTTTTACAATGGCATCACTTCTGGATGAATTGAAAATGGAACTTAAAAAATATAAAGAAAATTCACAAGAAGGGAAGGGCTGTTTTGGCTTCATTTTTCAATTCCTAGAAATGGAGATCTACAACTACGAGAAACAACAAGCAAAACAAGAAGACTGGGACAAAGAAGAAGCCATCTTTAATGAACAAGTAACTCTATGTGGTGAAGAAAAAGGAAAGGGGGGAAAGAGGATGGAGAATTTAAGACTTAAAAAAACAGCCAAAGAAGGGAGAAACAATTTGAAAAGTGGATATAATGTTGGAAAGCAACAGAAAAGGGGAATACAGAAGAAGGAAATGGAGGTGGAGAGACGGGGTAAAAAGGAGAGAGAGAAGAAGAGAGGGAAGAAGGAAGAGAAGTTACAAAGGTTTGGAGCAAGATGTAAAGAAACAGGACCTATTTAAAGAATGGGTGAAAATCTAACTGAAAAAGGGATTCTGTGAAGATACATAAGATTGTATTGTTATATTTGTAATAGAAATAATGTTAGAAAATTGGAAACAATATATGGTTAATAAGAGGGATAAAATAGTGTAATTTAGTGAAATGTTTGTGAATAAAATAAATGAAATAAAATAAATGAGAAAATTGAATTAGGAAGGAACGGGAACATTTTAATTAGTCAATGTTTTATAAAATATAAGTGAAGGGGGGGGGAATTAACTATGGAAAGTTTATAATTGTTCCCATAGAAGTATGATATTTATTTGAAAAGTAATGTGCAAAATGTTAAGATTTAAATGAATATTAATATTAATGATAGAATTGAATTGGAATGGATTGTTGTTTTAATTATATTATACATTTATAATTTTTTCTTTTTTTAAGAATATAGTGTGTAGTTTTAGAATGTACCAAGCAGAATCCGAATGGAAGTTATGTATTATATTAAGTGCTACAATTTTAGGGGAAAGATATAAAGGCATCATACTCCAATCAGTGATTACAGGAGAAATTTTGTTTAATGAGAAAAGATAGCAGACCATTGAAACAGGACAGACAAAGAATATAAGTACAATGATTTGAATTGAGATGAAATAAATAAAATAAAATTAAGAAAGTTAAAAGAGGGGAGAAGCTATATAGAAAATGTAGAATAGTAATAAGATATGGAATGGAATATAAAAATGAGCATGAACTTGAATTTGTGTCTGTACGAAGAGATGTAACCCAGGATTATGCTGCTTTCAAAAAAGATGTTTTATGTTTTTATGTTTTGTTTGTTTATGTTTGTTTTTAAAAACCAATAAAATTTACAAAAAAGGGGGGGGATTCAAGTGTGCATATTTGGGACCTCAACTTACCTACCTTTGGAGTAGATTAATACTATAATTTAGCTTTGATCTTGCTATTCTCATGATTAATCTTTGCATTTATATCCATAGTTCTGACAATCCAAACAAAGATTCATTCTCCCATATTTGCTAGTGTAAACAAAGGGTGTTTTTAGTAACCCAGTAGACCTGGACCTGCATATACTCTATATGCAGTTTTTAAAAAAAGTATCAAAACCTGCTTGAGGAAGATCTGTACAGTAATGTTATTCTTAAGGGTCTATCTTCAAATATTCAAACTTCAGACAAGAGGCAAAATGATGTTTGCTAGAAGTCCTGACAAGCAGAAGCTGAAGCTTAACCAGAATAGGATGTGGACAAAACTATCTCATGACATAAAGTAAAACCATATATATATAAAATTGAAATATAGAACATATTTCTATATATAATAGAAATGTAGAATTATTTAAGAAGCTGCATATGGCTGGATCCCTTGTGCCCAGTTCATTTCCTACATGTCATTTTTTTTTTTGCAGATATCCTGAATTTCTGTGCCAACAATTACCTTGGACTTTCTAGTCATCCAGAAGTCATCCGTGCTGGACATGATGCTCTGGAGAAGTACGGAGCTGGCCTCAGTTCTGTCCGCTTCATCTGTGGAACACAAGTAGGAAGCCATAGGAATGTGGATCTGTGTAAAAGCTATCATTTTATAATTCAATTTATAATGCCTTATAGCACTATATTTGTAGAGCAAGCATTTGAAAATTTGATTTTCCTTAGCAGTTGCTCTGGGGACAATTTTTAAGAGTTAAACATTTTCAAAAGCAAGGCAAGGTTCTGTTGTATTATTTCTTAGGACTGTTCAATTTTGAGGCAAAAAATGCTTTGGAACATATGGGGTACTCCCATAGCAGTATCTGCAACTTTTTGAAGGAGCTGCATCTTTCAGGATCCAATCTGGGTTGGTCACTGGGACCAAAGGTTTGTCTTCTGACTTTTGGACTCGTGCTGGAACCCATCTCCAGGGAACTTCTCTCTAGTTAACTCTCTCTAGCTTGGAAGACAACATTTTGGGTCCCAAAGCCGGACCCAGATTGGATCCTGCAACATTATCCCTGGACAGGTATATTCACCTTCATTCATCTGCTGTATCTTGAATTGAATTGAATACTTTATTTGGCCAAGTGTGTTTAGACACACAAGGGATTTGTCTCTGATGCAGAAGCTTCTCAGTGTACATGCAAAGCAACAATAATAACAATCAAAACAATGCCAATAGGAGGGGGTAGTAAAGAAGATAATAAGGATAAAAATACTACAGTCCTACTATATGGGTAAATACACATAGACATTTGAAAGCACTGTAAGAATTAGTGTTCAGGCATGAGGGAAAAAACTGTCCCTGTGTCTAGTTGGTTTGGCCTGCAATGCCCTATAGCGCTGTCCTGAGGGTAGGAATTAAAACAGTTTATGTCCAGGATGTGTGGGGTCTGTATATATCTTCCCAGCCTTCCTTCTGACCCAAGCGATATACAGGTCTTCTATGGAAGGCAGGCTGATTGCAATTCTATAGTTACAATTTCAAATCTCCCAGGACCTTTCTCCCGCTATAGTACAATCTCCAAAAAAGAGTTTTGGTTGAAGGAATTGCAGGCAGTTGTCACATATATGCCCCATTACACACTGAGTATTTTTTTTTCTTTTTTACCTTTGAATCCAAAGCAGTGCACATCCTTCACATTTATATTATGGAATCTATAATTCTATATTAAAAAGTTGGGTACTGGAAGAAAGATAAAAACATGAAAAAATATCATTAGTAATACATTTCTGGTGCTAGCTTTAGGAGCCTAAAGTTCATAAAAATTTGAGTTTCTCAGGATTCTACTATACACAAAGTTTGGATTTTCTGTTTTCTCATACAGTAGGTCTTTTTAAAGCTGCTGTGATTTGTCTTGGTGGGATAATAGTTAATGCATTTGCACTTATTTGGATATTTCTGAAAAGAAAACAGAGGTTACCATAATACCAGCCTTCCGTTTGGATTTGACTGTGTAGATATTGGCTTATTCTATGTGGAAAATGCTGGTGGTCCTTGACTTATGACCACAATTGAGCCCAAAATTTATGTTGCAAAATGAGACATTTGTTAAATGAGTTTTGCCCCATTTTACGACTTTGCATGCCATAGTCGTTAGTGAACCATTGCAGTCATTAAGTTAGTGACCTGATTAAGTGAATCTGGCTTCCCCATTGACTTTGCTTGTCACAAGGTTGCAAAAGGGAACACAACAACTGTCATAAATCTGAACCAGTTGCCAAGCATCCGAATTTTCAGCACATGGCTGCAACTGTTGAAAGTGTGAAAAATGGTCCTAAGTCACTTTTTTCAGTGCCATTATAACTTTCCGTGGTCACTAAATTAACTGTTGTAAGTCAAGGACTACTATGATAAGTTACTCTTGGACATACTGAAATTGAGCATAATGTTGGAGGTATAGATCTATTAGGTAATAAATAACATCTTTTCTCAAGCTACCGTGTTTCTCATATAATAAGTCCGGGTCTTATTTTTTTTTGAGCCCCGAAAAAATGGCTAGGCCGTCTTTTCGGGGGTGACTTAATTCCCCCCCCACTTGCATCTTCGGGCGGGCGGGTGGTGATGGCTTGGATGTTGACCTCGGCATTGGTGGGGCACTTTGTGTTGGGGTCAACGCAGGCAGCACCATATCCGGGTGTGCAATAAAAGTACTTCCTAACGGCAAGCCCCCCCACCATTCCCCCCATTTCGCATGTTTTAATATAGGCCTTAATTTGGGGGGAGGGGCTTAATTTCATTTCATGCCTATAAAACATGCTGGGACTTCCTATTGGGGGAGGCCATATTGTTGGAGAAACAGGGTACTACACTCAGATGTGTGAATTGTTTATGGCAGTGGTTGCCAACCAGTGTGCCGGGGACCACTGGTGGTCCGTGAGAAAATTTTGGTGGTCCACAGAGAAATGTTCCCCCCAAAGCAATTAATCCAGGCTGCGCAGGAACACAAGGCTGCGTCGCCCACATGACCTGTGGGAACACAAGGCTTGCATCGCTTGCATTGCACACAACACAAGGTAGTGAGGGGAGGGGGGAAAGGGCAGAGGGGGGAACTTCCCCCCCTCGCCCCATGCGCTTGGCCTGGCCACCAGGCTGCTTCTTTCCACTTCTTTCTCCTTCTGTTTTTGGCTGCATACAAGGAAAGCAGCAAAAGTCTTTCTTTCTCTTCCCCCAAACTCCGCCAGAAATGAGTCTTTGGGACCCTGCAAGACATCCTGCTCCAACAGGCTGAGCAGGCAAAGACTCATTTCTGGCAGAGTTTGGGGGAGAGAAAGAAAGACTTCTGCACCTGCTGCTTTCCTTGCATGAAGCCAAAAGTCCCCCCCCCGCTCTCTCCCCCTCCCTGAGAACGGAGCTGGAGACTGTATCCTGTAATCCCAAATGTTCGATTAGTAGGAAAATGGGGTGGGGGATTTTCCTGCAGACTTTTTTGGGGATTTTCCCAGGGTCTTTGCTGCTTTCTGCAGAGACCCTGGGAAAACATCAGCAAGACACTGTCAGTCAAAATTCATATTAGTGGTCCGCGGGATTTAAAATTATGAGTTTGGTGGTCCCTGAGGTCCAAAAGGTTGGCGACCCCTGGTTTATGGCATAGTGCTGCTTATAACACTTATCTACTTTGTGCAACAAAATGAGATTGAAGTAAACCATAATTAATGTGTGCATGCACTGTGGTTTGTATCACCAAAAATATGGATGTAGATTCTTCAAGCTGCATGGGTAATAGTGATAGTTGTGGCCATTTATGTTGGGATTTTTTTTTCTCTATTTTCCAAATTTTCAGAATATACATAAGGATCTGGAGGAGAAGATCGCTCGTTTCCATCAAAGAGAAGATGCCATTCTCTACATCAGCTGTTTTGATGCCAATGCTGGGATCTTTGAGGTTGTTAACTTTGTGTAAATAGGAGATTGATGCAAGAAGGGGTGGATTACCCACCACAATTGTAAAGCAACCCTATTTCAGTGATTTCTGAATGGTTCACTATAGTAGTGCTATTACAATAAATAACAAAAATTGTTCTGATCCTTCTTCCATGATATTATGGCACAGTGATTAGACTCATATGATTTATGATATGAATTGATTTGGTTTAGTGTATTGTGTGAATCCAGCCAAATGTAGTTTATCTAATCATGGTTAAAACATGGTTTAGTGTGACATAAGTATCCATACAATATTCCAGTAATGTGCATATGGAAATAGATGTTGGGGGTATTGAGGGGTAAAACATGTAAACTGATGTTAAAGGAAAATAAATGTTTAAGAAAAAAACATTTTATAATTTGTTATAATCTGTGTTATAATCTGTTATAATTTACATGTCTACACAATAATACAATACAAAATAAACATACCAACATTCCAAACAGCAACAATAAATGCCTTAACACTGTTAGAATTCCCATGTATGATGGGATTATTTTTATAACTGTTCTATTTGTTTTCTGGTATTTACAGGCACTTTTGACACCCGAAGATGCAGTACTGTCAGATGAACTGAACCATGCCTCCATAATTGATGGAATCCGTCTTTGTAAAGCCAATAAGTATCGTTACAAACATATGGATATGCAAGATCTGGAAGTCAAACTGCAGGAGGCACAGGTTAGTAGCTGGGTAACTCCTACCGTGTTTCTCATATAATAAGGCCGGGTCTTATTTTTTTTTTGAGCCCTGAAAAAATGGCTAGGCTGTCTTTTCGGGGGTGACTTAATTCCCCCCCCCCTTGAATCTTTGGGCGGGCGGGCAGCGACGGCTTGGATGTTGACCCCGGCGTTGGTGGGGCACTTCGTATCAGGGTCAACACATGCAGCACCATATCCGGGTGTGCAACAAAAGTACTTCCTAATGGCAAGGGCCCCCCCACCATTCCACCCCCCCCATTTCGCATGTTTTAATATAGGCCTTAATTTGGGGGGAGGGGCTTAATTTCATTTCATGCCTATAAAACCTGCTGGGACTTCCTATTGGGGGAGGCCGTATTGTTGGAGAAACAGAGTAGATTGTTCAGTAGTACAGATCTCCCAAAAACCAAAGCAAAACAAAGCTCCCAGAATCTTTTAACTAGCCAGAATCCCTTGCCTATACTCTTGTCACCCACTGTTCTGCACAGAAATGTCGTCTGCGGATGGTGGCTACAGATGGTGCTTTTTCCATGGATGGTGATATTGCCCCATTAAAGGAAATTTGTGGCCTCGCTCAGAAATACAATGCCTTTGTTTTTGTTGATGAATGTCATGCCACTGGATTTCTTGGGCCTAATGGCAGGTAAGAAACTATTACTTTTTTCTGATCGATGTTAGAAAAACAGCTATATTTGTTGAGAATAGCAAATTAAAATTTGTTTCTGTGATGCTTTTTGTAAAAAAAAAAAACAACCACATTTTTCTACATACAATGTGTAGAAATACAGCCTACTTTCTGACTTCTCACATCAAATCATCCACAATTTCTTAAATAAACCGTGATGTCCAAAGCACACTGCAATACCGTTTCATGGTGCTTTACAGCCCTCTCTAAACAGTTTCCAGAGTCAGAATATTGTCCCCAACAATCTGGGTCCCCATTTGACTGACCTCAGAAGGATGGAAGGCTTTATCAACTTTGAGCCTGGTGAGATTTGAACTGCCAAACTGCAGCCAGCCAGCAGTCATCAAAAGTAGTCAGCAGTACTGCATTCTAACACTGCACCACCACAACTCGTATTGATATGATTTTTGGTCCACAATGGTTGGGTTCGCACAACAAGCTAAGTCAAAATCAAATAAAACACAGTATGATTTAGCATAATGTAGGTAGTTCTTGGTTAACGACTGTCTTGTTTAGCAACCATTTGAATGTCTAGTGGCACTGCAAAAATAGGCTTGTGACCAATTATCAAAGTTACATGGCTTACAGCATCCCCACAGCAATGGGTTGTAATTTAAGAGCTTGACAATAAGTGTGATTTACAACAGTTACAGCATATCACAGTTACATGATCAACATGTGCAGCCTTTGTAGCCAGTTTCTAAGAAGCTCTCAGCAGTATATAATACAAAATAATCAGAATCGGACTAGAATGGAAGTTAAGCATTAAAAAGTTCAATGGAATAGGGATATGCTTAAAGGATGATGATAACGTGTTTGCCATTCTGCTTGTAAGATGACAACAAATACAATGCATTCTGTGCTGTATCTACATTTGTGTGAAATTCTGTATATAAAGGGAAGTATTAGCCTTTTAATTGTGTTTGCATTACCCCTTGTACATAAGTCAATTTTTATCAGATTGTTTCTGGGAATTCTTTTGTGAATTAATCATGAGTGGTAGATAAGCATTCCTAAAACTACATTAATCTTCTCCAATGCGAGTGCTGTTGAGAAATAAGCACCTTTAGGTTATATATTCACTTTGAGGTGTATAATATTCAGATCCAAAGTGGGCAAGTATTCTTCAAACCCAACATGAATACATTCTTTCTACTCCTTTAAAGGACACCTGACAAGTAGAGATCTGATCTCTATGCTGGATCTGAAGCATGTTTGTTCATTTTAGATCTGAGTATTCTGCATGCCGCTTGCCATCATATTTTGTTAGTCCCTGTTTTCAAATAGATTCTTTTGAATACATCTCCCAATCCTTTCTGATACACAAGAGCTTTTTTATTAGCAAGAAGGACATGTTTCTTTGAAGAGTTAGTTCTCTATAGATAGGACAAAAACAATTATTCTGGAGTGGCTTCTTATGGTATGTATACAGAGATACACGGAATACAATTCTAGATCTGTTTGAGGCAAAGTCTTTTTAAGGGAGATTTAAAAAGCAAGACCATACAAAAATGTGTGTGCTATAGAATAGTCTTTCCTGATTGATGCCTTCCAGATGTATTGAACTGCATCAGCATCCAAGTTCTGTTGTTGAATTGGACAAGACTGTAATAATGGCTTGTATTCTATTAGAATTTATAGGTTTTCCCTTTCAGATTAGATAGTTTGTGTCTCTACCTTCTGAAAATGATAGTGAAAGAGCAAATGTAAGATGTCAGTTTTGGATTGTTGTTACTTTGACTTGAACTGCCTAGAGCAGGGGTTCCCAACCACCGGGCCGCGGACCGGTACCGGGCCGTGGAACATTTCCTACCAGGCCGCCGGTTTGCTGGGTGCCGCCATCTTGTTTGACGAGAAAGTGCTTCCGGGTGAGCTTTTCCAGTTGGAAAGCGGCGTTTGGGTCCTGAAGGAATCCTCGCGCCTTAGTTTCATCGAAGGGGGGGGCTTCGAACGAAACTAAGGCGCGAGGATTCTTTCAGCACCCAAGGCAAGGCGAGCCGAGCGACCGTCCTGAAGCTGTCCCGAAGCGAAGCCCATCGACAAAGGTACAAAGGAGGAGTTGAAGGTGGCGGGGAGAAGCGGGGGACGGCTGGCTGGCTGGTCACTCGGCTCGCCTTGCCTTGTCATGCGTGCTGATGCCGGTACCGGGCCGCGGATCTTTTTGTGATGCCGGTACCGGGCCGCGGCACAAAAAAGGTTGGGGGCCAGTGGCCTAGAGTCTAGACTATTAAGGTTCTTTTCTTCCTGCAGGGGCACCGATGAGCTTTTGGGAGTGATGGATCAAGTAACTATAATCAACTCAACACTTGGAAAAGCCCTTGGGGGAGCAGCAGGTGCCAATTTCAGCTAATGATTTTAACATATCGTTTCTAAATCTTGGAAGCTTTGAGGAAAGACAGGGCAATTTATCTTCTATTTTAGCTTTCTAATGTATGTTTCTAATTTCTGGAGTCCCTTAACATTGCCCTGATGAAATTTAGCAGCAAACCACCAAATACTAACAACATAATTTTCTTCAGGTTGAGGCTAAATGAGAAATAACAAGTGTATTAAGCCACTGATAGGAATAACAGCCCTATTTTAAGTGAAAGAAAAAATTGGAAATTCAGGCTTCACTCCATCCTATGCTGTCCTTAGCTTTCTACACCTACAGCCCCTTGCCATTCACTTATTCTTCCTGCATCTAATGCAGGTTCCTTTCAGAAGTGAAGTAAAGAACTTGGATACTCTTTTGGCTGAATACTGCATTTTTTTGCACAAGTGTATGAATTATCAAGAGGAGCACAGACCACCAGTTATGCATGGGGAAGATTCCATTTGGATCTTTAATCTTCACTGTCTGAATTATAAAAAAGCAAAAAATACAATGTGTCAGCTTCTTGGAAGACTCATTGGGGATTACTGGTTGGTGAAACGCAAGCCTTGGTGACTAATAGAAAAAATACTTTTTTCTCTTTGTAGGTGGCTATACAACTGGTCCTAAAGCACTCGTGGATCTTCTGCGCCAACGTTCCCGCCCCTACCTCTTTTCCAACAGCTTGCCTCCTGCTGTTGTGGGCTGTGCCTCCAAAGCTCTGGACCTACTCATGGAGAGCAATGCCATTGCGCAGTCCATGGCTGTCAAGACTTCACAGTAAGGGAGAATATATTGTGCTCTTCATGCTAATAATCTATCTAATAATAGGTTGCTCTACAGAGAAAGTGGGGTTCTCTAATGCAGGGGTCTTCAAACTTGACAGCTTTAAGACTTGTGGAGTTCAACTCCCAGAATTCCTCCTCCAGCTCAGGAATTCTGGGAGTTGAAGTCCACAAGTCTTAAACTTGCCAAGTTTGAAGTCCCTTGCTCTACCATATGGGTTGCTTAACTGTTAGAATAAACCTATATTTGCACTGCACGCTGAATCATAAACCATGGTTAAACCTTAAACATAGAATGCCAAGCTAAAACTAGGAAAGTTTTGTAATGTCTTAGCATGATGCAGGAATTGAGAAACACGCTCTAGTCTAGAATTTAACAAATCAACAGTCCTTACTCTGCACGGATTCCCTTCAGCAATGCATTTTTTAGCAATTGAACCTAGGTATGTTTTGTGACATGAACGGAAAAAAGTGGCTTGGGTGGATAAGTTTATATTTTCATCCTTGTTTATCCAGTTCCAATAAGTATTTTTCAAATGAGAACTGAGAAATGAACTGAACTCTCTCTGCCTCAGACAAATGTACACCCACTGAATTCTGTGGAAATACTTATAATTCCATATATAGCTCTGTCTCCTAAAACAGGGGTCCCCAACCACCGGTCCATGGAACAAATCCTACTGGGCCGCTGGTTTGCTGGGCGCCGCCATCTTGTTTTGATGAAAAAGTGCTTCCGGTGAGCTTTTCCAGGTAGAAAGCTCACCGGAAGCACTTTTTCATCAAAACAAGATGGCGGTGCCCAGCTGATGCCGGTACTGGGCCGCGGTGCCCAGCTGATGCCGGTACCGGGCCGCGGCATAAAAAAGGTTGGGGACCACTGTCCTAAAAGATGTATTAAGTTGACACTGATCTGATTTCCACAATTTTTCCTTATAGGAAGGATTTTTTTTTCCTGTTGCCTTCTGTTTTGATTTGCTTTTTCTATAATCTCATCCCAATCCTTGTTGAATATTCAACATTTCAGGCAAAGGCAATGAAATACTTTGCACTGCTGTGCCAATTAGGTGAACTAATAAAATTTGCTCAGCTTGTACAAAAGGTAGAACTTCTATTGAAATGCGGTAACATGGTTCTCTGGTTCTAGCCAGCCAATGTAGCTCTCCTTCAGGATGTTCTGTTTCATTTTCTGATATTTCTCCACATTCTGTGGCTACTGGCAGAGTTTTTATGTAGCTGCTTTGGTCTGTTTCATGAGAACTATTTTTTTTTTTGTTCTTCCTTGGTGTCATAAAGGTATCATAATGTGTTGAACCTACACATCCAATACTGACAACAGCACAAGTGCTGCTTCTCTTGGTCCTCTTCCTAATGATTTGAGATCAGCAACGTGGCATTTGGAGCGATTGTGCCTTCATTGCAAATGAGCTTTGAATCCTCTTATGGTTAATTATGAGATGGGGAAAGCACTTCAGCCAGTCTTCTGGCTGTGAGGATGGGGGAAGAGAGAGAACAGGAGACATCTTGACTCCTTAATGAGTTGTCTATGTGCATACTTTGCCAAAGTATTTTACTTTGCAATCAATGGTAGGAAAGAGAAGGAGAGAAACGAACTGGTTGCTGGAGCCAGCTGTTGCCTAACTAATCAAATATGCTTAGATCTTATTCTATTTTCAGAGGTAGAACTTGTACCCTTATACCGCACATATTCTCAGTGGTTCTCATTTTATATAACTATTGGCACCCATCATCTGAATTCTCTTAGAAAGTTATTGTTCCTAAGGATTGAATTGTTGAGATGTTTAGCTTAAAATAGATCAAATGATGATTTTCCTCTGACCTGCAGGTTCCGAAGTAAGATGGCAGCAGCTGGATTTACAATTTCAGGCAATAATCATCCTATTTGCCCTGTGATGTTGGGTGATGCCCGGTTGGCTTCAGTGATGGCTGATGATATACTAAAAAGAGGTAAATGTTCTGGAGAAGTTGGAGGCTCATACCGCATAATCTGATGTGATTTTTTTGGCCCTCAAAAATTGGTTTCGGTGCCAATTAAATCATAGGAAGGCGTAAAGTTATCACTCTATACCCAGTATCCTTTAAACATTCTGCCATAGATACTATGGGCAGTAATAATCCATAACTTCCAGAGGGCATTTGTAACAACCTACTTAAAATCTTAGCGCTGTGAGAAAAAAAGATGACTTGCAACCTTCTGCATTGAAGGCCATCAGAGTTGGAACCAGTGCTTTCCTGTCCCATTCAATTTACTCTTTAATAGAACAGGTAAATGAGGATAACTTCTTGGCAATTTTTAATTACAAATAGTTGAGCTACAATCATTTGTTCATGGCTGTTTGAAGTTATTATGGCTCTGAATCAAGGGAATTACAATCAGTCCTCAAAGTTCCAGCTATTGCAGTGCCCCCCACAACAGTCATGTGAATAGAAATCAGGCACTTGGCATCCAGCTCATACTTATGAACAGAGAGAAGGGCTGTCCAACCTTGGCAACTTTTAAGACTTATGGACATAAACTCCCACAATTCTCCAGCCAATATTGGCAAAATTGGACACCTCTGAATTAGAGTATCCCGCAATCATATGATCACTGTTGCTGACCTTCTCTGCGCACGTAAAGTCAATGGGAAGCCGTCAGGGAAGATTACAAGCCACTCGGATAAGTCCTTCCTTCTCCCACCGCCACCAGCTTTTCTTCATACGTGCATTATGCCCTCCTTCCCTCTTAGCTTGCTCATATTCACCGACACCCTCCTTCCCTGGGCCTTCCAGTCATGCACCCACCATATCCCTTCTTCCCTAGCCATCTTGTGCTTGAACACAGGCACCCCTCCACTTCTTACTTAGGACTCCCTCTGCTCTCCATGTAACAACCCATGTGTCTTAGGCTTGCTACGACAACTGGGACTGCTTGGATTGCCATCGCTAAGCGACGCATGATGCATCACACTTTACGATCACATCACTTAGCAACAGCGATCCTGGTCCCAGTTGTCATAATTCAACAACTGCCTGAGTAGAAGAAACATCTGAACTAATTGCTGCTTCTGGGAATTCTTCTATTTTAATAAATGAAATAGAAATTCCTTTTGAAAATTCATAGAATTATGAAACTATCAAACTGAAAGATTATCTCAGAGGTTATCTACTTCAGGGAACTAGACCCAGGAAAACTAATTAAGACCTCCTTGAGAAGGGTCCTTCTTAAAAGCCTTCTCAGGTGAAGAACCTACAACCTTCCTAGGTAGACTGTTCCATTCTTGTACAGCTCTTACTTTTGGGTAGTTTTGCTTATGTTTAAGTGAAATCCAGACACCTGCGACTTATATTCATTATTTCTGACCTTAGTATCTATGGAGTGGAGAATAATTCGTGACCATCTTCCTTATGATGGGTCATGGCAAATATCAACTGAACTTTTAGCAATTTCCAACTTCTGTTTTGTCTCAAAATGATCCACAAAATGTGCCATTTTGCGATTTTGAAAGAGATCCTAAAATGATCTCTTAAGACATTAAATAGTACCGGAAGCCCAAGTACTTTAGAGCTGCTGGCTGATTTGGCATTTGCTTCCACCTTGGTTGATGAGTCCTAAAGAGAGAGTGAAATTAGAATTACAGATTTGTGGATGACAAGCATCCATGTCTGACTCTGAGTACTCTGAAATGTCCTTTTGATTTAGCTACTTGCTTCTGTTCTTTGCCTTCCTCTTCCTAAAGCCATCTACTCTTCCAAGGGCATCTCATTTTTCTATTCATTCTCCTGCATTCTTTAGGACTTTGCTCCTTCTAATTAGATTAGGAAAGATTCTGGCCTGAAACCTGGAGTGCCAGTTGAAGCAGAGGATGCCAAAGAAGATTCAGCCGGGGTCTGCTACAGAAGCTTTCTAGGATTGGATACACCACAATGTAGCAAATCTTTATTGCAATGCAATAAATGCTTTATTGCAGCACACACCTTCCCAACAACAGGCTATTGTTCTGCGTCCTAAAACCAAAGGGCTGGAATGGACCTTGGAGGTCTTCTAATCCAACCCCTTGCCCAAGGCACAGCTCTATCATGTAGGACTTGTAAGTTACTGTTGCCATGTAAATACATCATTAATACACATCCTTTATGCTTAGTCTTTTAATATTTCATTCAAACAAAAGTCTCAAATGTTATAAAATAAGAGTACAACCTTTGCCCTTTTCCAAAAGTTCTTACACTTGTTAGGATAAGGTGCTGCCTCAGGAGTTGTTCCTTTTCTAGCTGCTACCAAGCTCCCAGAAATGCTCCAGGCAGAACTCCCACCAGGATGTGCTGCCCACCATAGCTTGTGGTTCTCGCACAGGGCTGTCAAACTCACGACCTGCAGGCTGAATGCGTCACATGCTGGCCACACCCACACCTGGCTTAGCAAAAGGGGGGAAAGTCATGATATGTCACGTGACAGCACCATGACAATGTGAGTTTGACACCCCTGCTTTAGCAGTTGACTGTGATAGTCCTGTTGCCTACTTGTAATAGCTGTAGGGGGGCGTGCATAAGCGCACCAACATGCCTACCGTCCCTGTCCTATTGTTTCTTTTATTTTTTTATTTTTCTTATATGTATCCATATATTCATAACTATGTTTTTTACTTATACCTATTATCTTGTAAGCAATTGACATAAATAAATAAAAAAATAAAATAGCTGCCAATCTCCAGACATTGCCTCCCCCATCTGCATGCCCTTAGCTTATTTCCTTTTCTCTTCTACACCCACGCTGTCTTAATGTTTGCTTTCATAAGCTAAGAACCTGGGTGGGAGGTAGCTGCCTCTGCCAATCAGCCTATCCTTGAAAATGCCGGATGTGACTCAATGATTACAGGCAGCTGAAAGACCAGCTTGGGTGCTTCTGAGTAGAGTGAATGTATGTATGAGGGAGATGGGAGTGGGAAGCATTTTTACCTAGCTATGGCTACCCTTCCCAAGTGCAGATAGCCATACCAACTTCACTCCCTCATGGCTTGACTAACAGCAGCACCATTCTTGTCACCCAACAGGCATTTATGTCATCGGCTTCAGCTATCCTGTAGTGCCCAAAGGTAAAGCCCGTATCCGAGTTCAGATCTCAGCTGTTCACAGCGAAGAAGATATTGATCGATGTGTGGAGGCCTTTATTGAAGTGGGGCGTAAACATGGAGCCTTGCCTTAAACGGCTGCAGGAAATGAACAGTGCCATTCTACAACGGGAACCAAATGCTGCCAAATAACTCCTTGGCTTTGCCAATGACAAGGATTGTGGCAACTACAGTTCCAAATTCCCCAGTTTGCCTGCTCTTTTTATAAGGGTTACTTTGCAATAGTTCCAATGATGCAATGTTAATTGAAGGTTTAAGTTCTTCTAAGAACTGCAGTCCACTACTATGCTAGAAGATTGACAGTAACGATTGCCTCTCTCTTGGTCAAAGGCAACCAGAGCTTACAACACAAGGGAAAAGGTTGCAGGTTGCATAAAATACCTCATTCTGATTTGTGCCTTATGCTCAGGCCATTGTGCATTTTACCCCTTTTTTGCAGAAATCAAGTTGGAGGAAGGAGAGGGAAAGATGGCTTTTTTCCTTCTCACCTTTGCATAAATTTCTCTTTATGGAAGCAGTTTCTTCATATTGATCACTAGAGGGCATATTTGTAACTCTGGCCTCAGGGACCCCAATGCAGCGGAACATACATACATTGCATTATTCATTGTTGTATATTCATTTTCCTTACAATATACTAAAAATATTAACAAACAATTACTGGTTCTCTGTATTTTAATAGTCTCGTGTGTGTGTGTGTGTGTGTGTGTGTGTATATAAAATAAAGAAGTGGAAAGAGGGAAGGAATAGGATGTGTTCTAAATGGGACAAAAGAGCCAGAGTACAAGCATGTTTATAATGGGATAAAGCCAAATTTGATTTTGCAGCTCTACCATGTACATGAGATTACCATATCTGGCCTGTAAAGAGCTGAACAGCAGTAAACGGCAACAAAGAAATATAGTGCACTAGTCCAGTAACTATATTTGTGTAGCCTGCATGTGGAAGCCCTAACTGGCACAAACCACTGTTAAGATTAAGAAAGAGGTTGGGTTCCCTTCTGTGAAATCAAACTGGCATAGCTATAAGATATAATGTAAGCAGGGGTGGGATTCAAATTTTTTAACAACCGGTTCTGTGGGCATGGCTTTTTTTTTTTTTTTTTTGCAGCACCCCCCCCACACACTCTATTTTTGGGTCTCCTGGGCCTCAGGGAAGCCTCCTGGGGGGCGTTTTTGCACCCAAGAAGCTTCCCCGAGGTCTAAAAAGGCAAAAAAAAAATGGAATGGGGGCAGGCAGTACATCCCCTCCACGCGCCCCTTTTTTGCCTCCTGGGCCTCAGGGAAGCCTCCTGGGTGAAGCAATAAGACAGCGAGGGGGATCCCGGCACAGCTGATCATCGGAACAGCTGATCGTCGGGAGGAAAAAAAATACCTTAATGAGTGACTGGGTGGGGGAGAATACAGTCAGCGATGTCGGGCATACACGCGATGTGGCGCATGCGTGATAAGGACTGACTAGGCAAGGAGGGGAGGGGCAGACGGAGAGGGGCAGGGCCAGCCAGGGCACGATTTGCCGGTTCTCCGAACTGCACAGAATCGTAACAACTGGTTCTATAGAACTGGTCCGAACTGATAGAATCCTACCCCTGGATATAAGAATATATCTGAAAGCATTGCCATTTTTCTTTTTTAAAAAGCAGTATTGACTGCTCATTATTAGCATAAACCCAACCTTTTTCTGGCTGAAGCAAAAATAAAATCTCTGCCCTCTCATGTTACATGTATACAGGGATGGTGACAACCAGTGAGCCAGTTATAATGGCTAGAAACATACATTCTGTGCTATCAATGAATTACATGAGGTACCTTTGGGAAATACATAGAAAAACCGGACATATGTGACTTTCCTATTTCTCACTAATCTGCAATGATGACTAATCTTACTCAAGACATTTTGCAGTGATACCTCTTGGATTTTGTTGTCCTAAGCAACAGCAAACTGAATAGGAAAGAAACAAGTATCAAAGTGTTTTTTTCTTAATTCTTTCCATTATTACAGCCTTCTGGGTTATAGTGTGCTTGCTGAGGGAGGGAGGTCAAGGGTAAAGGAAATGAACACTTTAAAAATGTTACAAAGTAGGATATTCACATACATTTTGCCAATGTTCATAAGCTATACAGTAATTGCAAAATTAGAATTTGTATGTATTCCTTTGAAGCAGCCTTGACACCTGGCAACTGACTTCCTTCAGTTTTCTTGATAAGATTTCAGAAATGGTTTGTCATTGCCTACTTCCTAGGGCTGGGAGAAAGTGACTGGCCCATGGTCACCCAGCTGGCTTGTGCCTAAGGCAGGACTAGAACTAGTGGTCTCCAGGTTTCTAGTCTGATGCCTGTAACCACTATATGAGACTGGCTCCTAGAATGGATTATTGGCATATAAGTAGATTTCATGATAATAAGAATGTAATAATATGGTCTTGTTGTGCCTGTTTGAACTGTTATCTCAATTGCTGGAAAACACCTAATCTTCTATGCTCTGCTCTTATGATCATTATGTTGTGAGAGCCTTTGACTCAACAAGCCTTTAAGCAATCAACAATTATAAAACAAGACACAGGGACATCTCTTGAAAGAGCCACTCAGTTTCAGGAATTAAAAAAACTTAGCAGAAATTCCCACCTCACTCTAGTTATGGGCACTAATGTTCTGGAATGTTTATTGTGGAACCACGGTGGCTCAGTGGTTAGAATGTAGTACTGCAGGCAGGGGTGGGATCCGACTGGTGTAACTACCGGTTTGGTGATTTTACACTGCGCGCATGTGTATATCATCGTCAGCTAGCTGCCTGGAGAGCTGAGCATGGGTGCGCAGCGGTTGATAAAGCACCCTTTCCCTGCTTTTTCAACCGCAGCTGTGTCGCGCAAAGCAGTTGTGGTTGAAAAAACAGGAAATAAAGGTCAGGTAACAGCCCGGGCATGCGGGTGGGCCAAAACTGCAGCAGAGATAGAACCGGTTCTATGTATGCTCTCTATTTACTGTTCTTCAGAGCAACCAGTTCTACAGAGGTGGACAGAACCGGTAGAATCTCACCCCTGATTGCAGGCTAATTCTGCTGACTGCCGACTGCCAGCAATTCAGGTCTCATCATCCCAAAGTTCTCGGCCTTCCATCCTTCTGAGGTTGGTAAAATGAGGATCCAGATGGTTGGGGGAAATATGTTGACTCTAACTGCTTAGAGAGGGCTGTAAAACCTTATGAAGCAGTATATAAGTCTAAATACTATTGCTATTGCCATATTCTCAAGTGCTGAGACATTTTTTAGGCAAGGTAGGAAGGTTTGAAATATAACTCTCAAAGGATTTGGAGTGCTTCTGTCTTATGAACCCAGAACTGTCTTGCAATGTTGAGTTTCTATTGCATTTGTAGGAAATGATTTAGGAGGAAGTGCATTTTGGCAGATCTGTTGCCTTATGAAGTCAACATTGGTTCCTGTTAAGGTCCTTATTGTCTAATTTTTCATTAAGTCAAGATGAATAAGGAATTCCTCTGGCCAGGGCTTTTCCTCAAAGCAGTATTAATGTGTTTTCTTCTAGAACGGAGATGGCACAAATGTATTCTGGCATACCTCATGCTGCCTTCACTGCTGAATCATATTCTGCCTTCGTAGTAAGGCTCCTGATATCATCTACTGGCAGGAAAAACAGCCACCAGTCATTCTTTCAAGCAATGATACTGTTCTGGTTTATGAGGCAAAAGCTGAGGAATTCCCCAGCCTGCATGGATCAAACACTGCATAACATCTGCTTGAGCTTGATGATCTACATTGTCCTTGTTTTCAGTCCTAAAATACAAATACATTGAGTAATACAGACACAGAATAAAATAATATCAGAGCATTTCAGCATCCCAGGACGCTGTATTGCAGACCTCAAAGTAACCATTTTAGAAGCACAAAACTTACTCTAAGCAACACTGAGCAAGAGATTGCTAAACTCATATACATCCAAACATCTCATCACAAAGGATTTTTAACACTTTGCAATTAATTGATAACATACTGGCAATCTATCTCACATGTAACAAGCCATTCAATCACATAGGTAAATTAAATTGCATCAAAATATCACCCAGCTTTATACAATTGGCCAGATTGGTTCCAGAGAAGCCAGAGAATGTTCTTTTGAGATGCTAGAAGGTTGGATAATTTAGCAACTTACATGTCATTTCAGACATACGCCATCAATTATGTAATTTTCTTGAAGGTTGTCAAATTATTATTGTGATATCATCCTACCCAAGTCTAATTAGAAGTCCCAGGAACCATGTATACAGTATTACACCTGTATTGCACTTTGTTGATTTTATACAACAACTTATCCCAATTCCCAGATGCATCATTTATGTTCCCAGACATGGGGTATATTTGAAACAAATACATAGAAAGGAAACCAGGCCAAAGGAAGTTTTAGCAAAGCAGGAATTTTCCATTTACTTAAAAATTTTCTAGAAATTCATATAGATAAAAGTAAACTGAATAGCAGTTCTTGAATTTCAAAGACCTGGATCAAAACTGCAGAACTTAACTTAAACAAAACTTTTTAATAGAATCCACAATGGAAAATGTACCCTATATATAAGGCTTACTAAATTACGCATAACCAAGACTATAAATATCTATAGTAACATAGAGATAATAATATGCTGAGATTTGTTAACCCAAATTCTAATTAAGACCTTTTGTTTCTTTATCCCCCTTTATTTTTTAATGTTAATCTCATGCATCATCTCCAATTAAAAGAAAGAAATACTATTACTAAATTTCCAGAGTTCCAAAACTCTTGATTAAAACATATATAGTTTCTGCTATTATTTCGTCATAGCACATTTGAGAAAGATGCTGGTGTTTCTGTTTTGCATTTGGCTAGCATTCTTTGGGTATGACAGAGAACTGTAATACCTGGTCTTGTTTTGTTTTTACATAGCTGTGAAGATTCCTCCAAGCACAGGTTTTCAGATGTTCATGAAAGACATCTCTCATTTTCATTACAATTATTGCTCTCAAGTTTATGTCATCTTGAGCTTTAATCTAATTGGGAAATGACAACAAAATCCTCACGAAGTCCAATGCTGCAGTATAAACTTCACTTCATCCGTATCACGAGCAGGCACACTTACATGCAGTTACAACAGGATAAGGAATTTATCTCCAAACACATTCCTTACGAGACTTTCTACGATTCAGAGGCTGGGTTCCATTTATCCAACAGTGCCATGCTGGGAGTTTGATGTGGGTAATTTGGGCTGGCTGGCAAGACATGCCTGGAGGCCAAGAGCTTGCATCAGGTCACAGTATGTATGGCGTATCCAGCGTGGCCAGAAGACGGATCCCATGTCTACCCAGGAAGAGGTTAAAGAACAGGTTGTACTATCCACTAGCCATCGACATAGATGATGAATGAAGGACTGGCTCAAATTACGAGCGATTCCATCCTCAAAAGGCAGCAATGGCTGCAACTTGGGAAGCTGAAGTTTGCTTGTCTCCTGCAGGAGCTTCTTCTTAAATCGGGCTGTATGTTTAGCCAGCTCTAGGTTCTGTGTGCTCAGTTCTTCAGTGCTTGGGTTCCAACTTTGGGGGTCCTCAGGAGACATCCAGAAAGGGTCATAGGAAGATCCCAGAAACTTCATCAGCTTGGAAGTATGCAAGTGCTT